AAGAGATGGGAATACCAGACCATCTGACCTGCCTCCTGAGAAATCTGTATGCAGGTCAAGACGCTTGCTTCTTGGAAGAAACGCTGTGACCAACTTAGACAGCATATTAAAAAGCAGAGACATTACCTTGCTGACAAAGGTCCGTCTAGTCAAAGGTATGGTTTTTTCCAGTAGTCATGTCTGGATGTGAAAGTTGGACCATAAAGAAAGCTGAGTGCCGAAGAATTGATGCTTTTGGACTGTGGTGTTGGAGAAGACTCTTGAGAGTCCCTTGGACTGCAAGGAGATCCAACCAGTCCATCCTAAAGGAAATCAGTACTGGGTATTCATTGGAAGGACTGGTGCTGAAGCTGAAACTCCAGTACTTTGGCCACCTGATGCGAATTACTGACTCATTGGAAAAGACCCTGATGCTGGGAAAGATTGAAGGCGGGAGGAGAAGGGGATGACTGAAGATGAGATGGTTGGTTGGCATCATTGACTTGATGGACATGAGTTTGAGTAAGCTCCAGGAGTTGGCAATGGACAGGAAAGTCTGGCATGCTGCAGTCCATGGGGTCCCAAAGAGTGGCCATGACTGAGCAACTGAACTGAACTGAGGTTAGAGTAGCTGGTGTGTATGTCTGCTTTATGCTGCAGAGGCTAGAATTAGGTTGGAGGCAAGCTAAAAGCTGGCTATAATTGCAGGGGAGACTACTAAAGTGCTATGTAATAACGAGTGTTTTACTTTATGACTCTTCTTTATGGCACAGACACACAGTTGTAATGTTATTCTGATTTTCCTAGATGGTTTGTTCAGTGGTTTTGTCAGAAGCCTAATGATTATTTTGTTTGGTTTTCAATATCTGGCACATTATGTGAGATCTTGAATGTAACTATGATTGAATTTGTTCTTCTGGGTGTGTGTGTGTGTGTGTATGTATGTATAAAAAAACCCATACCATAAAATATACCATCTTAACCAATTAATAAAAAAATTTTTTCTCTTGCGTGGCTTGTGGGATCTTAGTTCCCTAGCTAGGGGCTGACTCTGGGCCCCAGCAGTGAAAGCACTGAGTCATAACCACTGGACTACCAGGGAATGCCCTGTCTTAATCAATGTTAAGTGTATAGTTCAGAGGTGTTAGGTGTATTCACATTGTGAAACATCTGAACGTTACTGATCTTGAAAATCTGAAACTCTGTGCCCTTTAAATAACAACTTCCCTTTTCACCCTTTCCCCAGTACTTGGTGACCACCATTCTACCTCTGTTTCTGGAAGTTTGACTGCTTTAGACACCTCACGTGGGTGGGATCAGAGTGTTTGTCTTTTTATGACTGGCATGTTTTGCTTAGTGTAATGTCCTCAAGGTTCATCCATCTTACAGTATGTGATCGGATTTCTCTACTTTTTAAGCTGAATAATACTCCATTGTAAGTTTATACAATGTTTTGTTTCTGTTAATGAATCAGTGAATGGGTGAGTTGCTTCTACCTTTTGGCTACTGTGAATCATTCTGATATGAACATGGATGTACAGATATCCCTGAGACTAAACCCTCCTGCTTTCATTTCTTCTTGGTTTATACTCAGAAGTGAAATTGTTGGATTATGCAGTAATTTTATTTCTAATTTTTTGAGGGATCTTCATAGTGTTTTCCACATGGCTGCAACATTTTACATCTCCACCAACAGTACACAATGGTCCTAGTCTCTCCACATGCCTGCTGACAACTATTACATGCAGTTTTGTTTCTCTTTACTTAATTTTGGTTGTCCTGGGTCTTTGTTACTGCGAGAGTGCTTTCAGTAGTTTGGGCGAGCGGGGGCTACTCTGCATTGCAGTGAGTGGGCTTCTCATCGCAGGGGCTTCTCTTGTGGAGCACAGGCTCCAGGTGCGTGGGCTTCAGGCGCCGCAGCCCTCAGGCTCAGTGGTTGTGGCTGATGGGCTTCGTTGCTCCACGCATGGCAAGTGGAATCTTCCCGGACCAGGGGTTGAACCTGTGTATTCTCTGCACTTGCAGGTGGATTCTTACCCACTGTACCGCTAGGGAAGTCCTCTATTTTGTTTGATAGTAGCTATCACAATTGATGTGAGAGGTGTAGATTCTTAGTCAGAATTGTATTTTAACCAGATGGTCTTCTAGTCCTCTGAGAGATACAGTATTAACATAAGAACGTGAGACACAGAGGCCAGGTGGGAGGTGCTTCAAATTGTCATAGGTTTGTAGCAAGTGAGAAACTGGTTTGAGTGTCATGGGAAGGTGTCACTTTGAGAGAGCTGATGGAAAAGTGGGAAGAGTTTATTTGAATTGAATTTGAAGTGATATGAGAATGACTTTTCATTTTGAATCTAATAGTGTGGATGTAAAGGGAAGGAAAGATGAATTTACTGATCCTTGAATTTTAGGTGATGAGAATATTGTGGAAATAGATGCCTGGCAGGGCAGCTAGAAATATGGGAGCAGATCATGGGTGAGAAAACAGGTCTGGAAACTTGTTTTTGTGAGAGCCAGTGGGATAGAGGTCATAGTATTTCTCTTTGAAACATTCGTTTTCTTTAGAAAAATAATCTGATGAATTTTTCCTTCTCAATCTTTTGCAGCTCTTGCAAGCTTAGGATATGAAAAGAGCTGTGTGTTGTTCAATTGTGCAGCCTTAGCTAGCCAGATTGCAGCAGAACAGAACCTGGATAATGATGAAGGACTGAAAATCGCTGCTAAACACTATCAGGTACGCAGAACGGTAGTTGCTACCCAGCTGTCAGCACTGGGTTGGATTGAATTGAAAATGATTTGCATTTAGGGTTTATAAATGTTTCTTTACACACACACAGGTGCTTCCTTGAAAAGGAATGTACTTTTTAATGAATTGATATGTTTTTTTTAAGTCCTGACCTGAGATAAAAGAACATACTTGTGAACCCAGCTCTTGTTTTTCCTCACCACTGTACACCCAGCACCTAGCACAGTGCCTGGCACATGATAAAGGCTCAATAAACGTTGGGAGAAAAAATGATTGTTTGAGATAAAATCTTTGGCGAGTGAGTCCCTTTTAAATGCATGACCTCATTTAAAATATTTGTACATTATTTTTGCATAATTTTTCTTAGCGAGATATAGTTAAAATTTCACCAGTGTCACAAAAATTAAGACCTCTTGGCAAGAAAATTTTACCTCTGAGACTTGTGAACAGGTCATAGTTAAATGTGGTCAGATACATAATGTTCTTAACTAAATGTAGGTTTTACATACAGTCGGTTACTAATATGGCATATTATTTGGTGATAGTGTATTGTTGACTCAGCTTTTTTTGCTTCAACTTAAGGAAAAATAAGTGATAGTTGTTAAGTGGTAATCTATAATTATGTCTTCATGTTTTATATTGCTTTATCATTTACAGGGTATGTTCATGTTCTTTTGAAAACTTGGCGAAGCATGCTGCATAATGTATTCTCGTTTTCCAGACAAGGGGACTAGAGGGCAGAAGTGTTAATACAGTGGTCCCCTGGGGTTTCAGGTCTTCTAAGTTTTAGGGAATCCCAAATGGTCCTTGCACTGTCTCTCATGGTTCTGAAACTTGCTTGTTTCAGAGGTGGAGTTCGGTCTTTTCCATTGTTTAAGATTAGGGGAGTTGAGGAACGCTGTTCTGAGAAAGTGAGAGGAAAATGACTTGAAGCACACTGCATGCTCCCAGGTTTGGATGGGCACAGATGGCAGTCCTGATGCAGACCTTTCCTTTGTGAGGCTATAAGTGGCAAGTTTTTTAAAATGTGAAAACGAATTAAAATTTTATTTAGTTTTCTATTCATTGTAAACTCCAGTTGTTGGCATGTGAGATCTTAGACGGCATCCTGAATTATTGAGGATACATTCCACTCTTACTCACAGCAAGGTTCCTAGTGTGCGGGAAAGAGATTCTAAGTCTCTTTCCAAGCCACATGCTGCCAAGAGACTCTGTGCCCTTGGGTAAGTGCTTTAATCTCTGTAGCTGTCCAGTCCTGTTTTGTGAGTGGGAGACCAGATCCCTTGCGTTTGTAGTGTGTGATTCTGTTAGTTTACTGAGCGTGTCAGCTGATCACTCCTTGGAATCATTCATCTAGTTTTATGGTGCTTTCTGACTGCAGCAAATGTGATGTTTACTTCAGTACAGTTTAACCCTGAGTTAGCTCTCTGTAGCTTAACTACATAACCCATAGCTCCTTTTGATCCCAGATTGATGTCTGTCTTTTCCCCGGGATCGGTTGTTTCATAAAAGCCAAGTTATTTTAGTGTTAGCCTCAGTGCAGTGCTTGGTTGTGTCTGACTCTTTGTGACCCCGTGGCCTGCAGCCCACCAGGCTCCTCTCTCTGTGGAATTCCCAGGCAAGAACACTGGAGTGCGTAGCCATTTCCTTCTCCAGGGGACCTTCTGACCCAGGGGTGGGACCCAGGTCTCTTGTGCCTCCTGCATTGGCGGGTGGATTCTTTACCACCGTGCCACCTGGGAAGCTAAGCAAAATATAATTGAGAAGAAGAATCTGATGGGAAGCGTTTTACCAGGGAGCTCTGAAAGCCAAATAAAAAATCCTTGGCCATGGATCATCCTGCTGTTCCCCAGAGGACTAGGTATCAGTACTCTTTAATTATCAGAGAGATGAATTTGGGACCGAAGCAAGAACACTTTAGGACTAAAAACATTTTAATAATATCCCTGCCTCTGTTCACATGTTGGATTTTGAGGAAGTATTTGCAAAAGTTGAATCAATTTGTTGCATCAGTTTACTTTGTTGCATTGAATGTCGAATGCATGTTAAATTTTATTCTGTAGTGTTTTTAGAAAAATATTCTTACCGTTGGTAGGTGAGACGTCTTGGGTCTGTTTTTCATAATATAAAAACTTAAGTACAGTAACTTGACCTGAGTTAACATTTAAAGTGGTTTTGTGTGTAACAGTAAAAAATTGTCTTGCTGAGTTCTTTCAGATTTTAATGAAATTCTCCTTTTCCTCCCTCTAGTTTGCTAGTGGTGCCTTTTTACACATTAAAGAGACCGTTTTATCTGCCTTGAATAGAGAGCCCACTGTGGACATATCTCCAGACACTGTTGGGACCCTCAGCCTTATCATGCTGGCCCAGGCCCAAGAAGTGTTTTTTTTAAAAGCTGCAAGAGGTAATTCCACTTTATTCTCCATTTTGTTGCATGGGAAAAGAAGTGACAGGCTTTTAAAATAAGGTGATTATAATATGTTCAGTGTAGAACTTTCATCTTTGCATCTTTGACCCGTGGTTCATCGAAAAATATCAACTTTCCTTTTCTGACCTTAAGGTGCTACAAACACACAGTTCAGAATGTAGGCTGTTTTTGAAGTCTTTTATGGCTTGAAAAGTCCTAAGATGTGTGTTATCATCTTAAAACACTGAACCCTGGAGTAGTAGTTAATGTAGGTTTGTAACATCTAAAATTCATTCATTCATGAAATATTGTAATTACTGGGTACAGCTGTATGCCGGTCCCTGTGATAGGCTCTAGATGGAGTCAGCAGACAGAGAAGATTTCTGTTTTTAGGAAGCTTGCAGTTTATCGTGGGGGAGATGATAAACAAGAAATTAAGTAGCCAATGTAATTTTAGAGAGAGAGAATTGCTATATGCAAAATAAGATGTGATGATGACTGGTGGTCTGGCTGTGGGATAAGGATGTAGGGGGAGTCATGCTGTTTTTCATTCTTCAGTCAAGTAGAATTTCCTTGAGGAGGTCTTGTTTAAACTAGACTTATAACTAACAAGGAGGAGCCGTCCCAGCAGAGTCCCTGGCCCTGTGAGTGAGGGAATAAGGACACTTGTTCTAAGGCATGTAAGTTAGAATGAGAGATAAGAACAAGGACTGAATGTACAAGTATAGAGGAATTGAACATGAGAGCAGTCCAGCAGGTGGAAGCTGAATGAACTGGAAAAGTTTTTCTTTGAAAATAACAGCTTATACTGAGATAGAATTCATATACAATAACATTTACCCTTTTAACATGTACAGTTCATTGGTTTTTAGTATATTCAGAGTTTGGCAGCCATCCCTAACTATCTTATTTTAGAACATTGTCACCCCCAAAAGAGATGCCACAGCTACTGTCAGTCACTCTCCAGTCCGGCTTCTGACAACTGCTCGTTTATTCTAACTCTCTGGATCTGCCCATGGAATAGTTAAGTTGTACGCAGGAGAATCAGTTTCATCAACAAGGATTTTGTAAGACATATGTATAAACTTGTGATCTTCATGTCTTCACTGAGTTACCATGACATATCAGATTATTTTATATTTATTTTCATTAAAATGATCAATTTAATATTTTATTCCAGATAAAATGAAAGATGCCATCATAGCTAAATTGGCTAATCAGGCTGCAGATTATTTTGGTGATGCTTTTAAACAGTGTCAATACAAAGATACTCTCCCCAAGGTCAGTTATTGTTTTTTGTAAATACTTGGTTGCTTTGCATGTGGAACTATTCGGACATTTTTGTGTCTTAAGCAAGTTGAAAATTATGATTTCTAAAGAAATTTGAAATTTAAGGGGAGGCATTTGAAGAGTATGTTTGTAGAAATAGTTTTTAATTTAAGATGCATGACACTTTCTCTTTCTTATTTAGCAAATGCTTTTGCTTCTGTTCTTTACTAAATTTTATTTTTCCAAGCTAAAACTCTTCCTGGAAAATTGTGAATACCTGTCTCCAGTAATTTTATCAGACCAGGGCATTGTTTTGAATCATTGGTCATTTGGTACAGCATGATACTTGAGCATGTTGATTATTCACCCTTTTAATTATTGTCCTGTTTTCTTAAAGATGAATCTTAAAGCACAAAAACAGACATAAAGACAAAAGGAAAAGGAAACTTAACAAACTCACCCCGTACTTTGATTAGAATTGAGTTTTGCCAACAGGAATAGAAACTTGGGCTGCTGTTGTACAACTAAGGAAAACAGCCGTCTAAAACCACATGTCACAGGAAGTATTACCTGTTTTAATATTAACCTTTCTGAAGCAGCATTTGAAGAGACTAGTCAGTGACGAGCATTTGTAAATGATAAAGCAGATGATTAGACTGAGAAGTAAATTCAGTATGCTTGAAAACAGAAGCTTACAGATTGAAATGTCATACGAGTCAACTGCTCTCTTTCAGAAATGTTCAAGGAATTCATTTTGTCTGTATGCTAGCAAATGGTATTTGTTACGTGCTTTTTTTAAGGGAAAATGATTTGTAAGTTGTTTAGGAATCTTTATAAATTATGAAATTGCAGATAATTTTGTGGCAAAATAAAAAAGCATGAAAATACATCAACACATGAGTGTTGAGAATGAGCGGAATATGAGCACCAAGGAATTCGAAGTTTGCTGGAGATTAAAAATTCACCAAGAAATCAGTAGAAGAATGTGCCTAGGACTCTTGGGTAGTAATAGTGTTGCTGTTAAGAGACTTGGGATCTCTTCTCACCTTTTTTCATCTGGAAGACCTCGTGATGAGCTTCACAGTGTACTGTTAAATCCTGTGGGGCCGTTAGTTCAGTGCTGTCCTGGCGAGAAGACAGTGTCACCTACAAAGACTTGGAAACTACCTCTGCACCACTCCTGGTATTCCTTGAAAAATCTCCTGTTTAAGTACTCAGTTGCTCCAGACTTAACCTTGAGAACTGGCATGAGTGCACTTTGAGATTTTAGATGTCTTTTATTTTTGCCTTTTGACTAATAAAGCTCATCAGGTATTTTCATATTCTAGTTATAAAACTGGAATATCTGCAAGTAGTGACCCAGGAAGCTAGGAAATTATTCCCTGGGAGACAGGAAAGCACACAAGGTAGTAATTCAGTTTTCATTTCTCTCATTATTATTTTTTCTGTCTAGACAGTGATTGTCTAGTATATTTCTTGGATATTATATGGCATGTACTTCCTAAAAACATTGAGCTTATAGGATAGGATTTGATATTTTGGAAGACCCTCTACTGCTTTTTTGGTTCATGTTTTTGGATCTTCTAAAATCAGTTTTGGCTGGAATTTTTTCCTAAACAAATTAGGGCAGAGTAACACTTTATCATATTAGTTATTAGCTCAGTGCATTTGTCTGTCTGCTATGTGTTTTTGAGTGTATGGTATTGAAATGTTAGTCTTTATGTGATGCTGAGTAATTTCTATATGGCTTAAAATCATTGTTATTAAAAGTCTCTTAGATTGTGAATTTAAGTGGGAACTTACTTCACTGTCTTTTGTCTTTTAAACATGATGAAACAGTCAGCTATAGAGCAGTTTCATTAGTATATGTGAGTAATGGTGTCTTAGTTAATGGAGAGCTGGGTAAGGGCTCACAAGAAAGCTGCTAAAGCCTGTGCTTGATGTTCCTCTGTGAATGTCTATTCTACTTCTCTTTCTAATGCATGCTTTCCTTTTTTCTTGGTAAACAAAATGTTGACTTCATGGCTTAAAGAGAATTGTAAAAACTTAAATTGGCTACATTTAACAGTTAAAAAAACCCAATTGTTAATTCTAATTGGAAGAAAAAACCCCTGAATTCATTGAATCCAGTCCACACAAAATCATGTGGTCTTCTCTGTTTACACCTAATGACTAACCTATCTCTAAACTATTAATGGGGTGATTCTAATTTCTGTCTCCTTTTCCTTTTTCTTCCTGCATCCCATGTTGTCTGGTGGTTTGTGTGGTTGGACTCTCCCTGGTCAGTATTTTTATTTCCAGGAGGTGTTCCCTGTCTTGGCTGCAAAGCACTGTATCATGCAGGCCTATGCTGAGTACCACCAGTCTATCCTGGCAAAACAGCAGAAGAAATTTGGAGAAGAGATTGCACGGCTACAGGTGAGTTTCTGAGAAATAAATATTTAAGTCACCTGAATACTTGGATTTCCTTTTTCTTCTTTTTTTTAGTGAGATTCCGAAGTTTGCTCATAAAAAGCTTTCCCACTCATTTCACCTGTCCGTGAAGATGGGTGATTGTTTTTATTTTTTAGACTATGAAGGAAATGGCAACCCACTCCAGTGTTCTTGCCTGGGAAGTCCCATGGACAGAGGAGGCTGTGGGCTGCAGTACATTGCGTCACAGAGTCTGATGTGACAGAGCAACTGAGCACAGCACAGCATACCCACTGTGTGCTTTTTGAAGTTTCCTATTTTATCTAAAAATTTCACGTTAACTTTGCATTCAGTTCTCTTTTATTTACTCATGTTTATTTTAGTATAAAATACTCTAAATTAATTTTCATGCTCCAGAAAGGATGTGGAGTGCTTAACTTGTGGCATAGCCTTGGTCTATATTGGGTCATAAATTCCATAGTTTGAGAAGGACAATGGTAATCTATGTAAATAGATCTTGTAATCAGCAGACTACCTCCTATGCTGTTGTATTTGCCCTAGGCGTATGAGTAACTTGCTATGACATCTGGGGCAGCAGGGGTGAGTGCTGTTGTACGAATTGTTTGTGTTTTGAGAGTTGGTCAGCAGGTGGCAGGAAGAGGACTGTTAAGGAAATTTAAGTATGGACTAGTATTTGAAGATAAATGCAACTGTTACTTAGGAAGTTCAGTGTAATTAGTCTTTTCATGAGAAGAGAAACCCAAGGTTTATTAAAAAGTAAAATACATGCTTGTGTTATACTCCACACTGACAAAGTCAGAGAATGGCACACTCAGATTATCAAACATTTATTTGTCCAGGGATTCACTTTGATTGTAGTAACTTAGCATCATATGAAAGCAGATGAAAACATACGCTTCTGAGAAAGGGGTTTCTAGGGGAAAGTTTTTTTCAGGGTAGCGTATTTAAAGTCTCAGGAGCATTGACTGAAAGAAAAGCACACAGCATAAGAGTTGGAGTGTAAGTTTGATTCAGGGACTTTACTGAGGACTGTGGCCTGGGGGGTGGCCTTTCAGTAGCTCCGAGGAACCCTTTCTGAAGAGGTAGGGGAGAAACCAGCTCATATTTGATTTTGTCGAGCGAATACCGCCAGTCAGGCATACCTTTCAGTAAAAGATTACCGCTAGTCACAAAGAACAGATATCCCAGGTTAATGATTTTAGTGCTTTTCTGTGTATGGGAATATAAGGAATCTGGATTCATTAAAATTCTTCCTGAGATAGACATCTGTCTAAGGGGCCTGTTTTTCCAGAGCATGAGGAGTGTCTCATCTTGTTTTTCATCCTGAATTCCTCTCAGGGTCCACTGTTGGTCAGCCACTTCAGTGGGTATTGACTGGATGGTAAATTGGTCTTTGTTTTACAGAAGTGTAGCTTCTTTATTTTGGGGGAATTCTGGAACTTTTATATTCAAAGGAGTATTCTCTATAAGCCAGTTATATAAGATCTCCTTTTGAAATGTTAATCTAATTTTTAAAACCTCTTTGGAAAAAGGAAGCTATTTCAAATTCACACAGGAGATAAGGACTTCTTTCACTTTTAGACAGTTTTTTCAGCTATACACCTGAAGAGTGTATAGCTTCAATTACACAGCTTTAGTCATAGGTCGGAAGTTAACAACATAAATACGTACTGATTCATGTCTCCAGGGGCTGTTCCTCTTTCCATTAGGCATAAGATATATTTTTTTACTTGATTTGAGCTCAGACATAGGCAAACAGAACAAAACAGACAAAGAAGATGAATGGTAAGTCATATTCTATGCAGTCTTTTGCTCAGAATGCCCCATGTTCCTGATGGTTGCACCATTCAGTCAGTTTTGCAATCATTGTTAACAGTAATGGAGGAAAGCTTATTAGTCATGAGCAAGCCAGAAGTAAAAAACAAAATCACAGGACTTGGGAATATCACAGCAGTTGGTAAGATAGCAAAGGGAAAATTGCTGTGGGTGATTCACTTCTGGGCCAAGAAAATTGTACCTGGGCTCACATAGCTCATGAGGTGCATTTCTTGGACAATGTAGTTATTAGGCTCCAGGAGGTGGGTCTACTTGATCGTCCCGGCAAGTCTCTAAAGCTGCCAAGGCTCAGTTTTAAAAAAGACAAAGATACAGTTGACCCTTGAAGAATACAGATTTGAACTGTCCAAGTCAACTTATATGCAGGTGTATTTCAATGAATAAATACTTGGCTCTCCATACTGGCAGCTTCTGAATTTGTGGATTCAGCCAACTGCTGGTTGTGTACTGTGTTTAATCTGCAGACACAGAATCTGTAGGTCCAGCTATAGGACTGGAGCATTCAGATTTTAGTGCCTGTGAGGAGTCCTGGAACTGATCCCCCACAGATACTAAGGGATGCCTCTATATAGATATAAAATTATGACTCAGATAAAATGGATACATACAAGATATTTATTTAATTCATTAATGAGGAGTCTAATAGGGTGATAAAACTGATTTTATGAAAGTATTGGCCTTTTTCTTTGTTAGATACTAGTTTGTAGGTATTAAGGAGAGTGTCCTCATTAGATATGTGCTGAGATATTTAGGGATGAAGGGTTGTGATGTCTGAACTTCAGTTTCAAATAGTTATGTAAAAAGAAAAGGTCTGTTTATATATGGGAAAGAGAGCAAATATGACAAAATTGGTAACAGTTGTTAAACTTAGCAGAGGAGGTGTTTTTTCTCAGTTGTTCTGTTCTTTTAATTTTTCTATGAACTTGAAAATTTTCAATATAAGAATTGGGAAAAACAGGTATACACTTAGCTGATCTCTACTTTTTCTCTTCTGTTTTATTCCCTACATCCTTTCCCCCCACTGCCTCATAAGTAATTTTCATTTATTTCTTGTTTAATCCTTTCAGTGTTTTTTTTTTTAAAATTCTGTTTGAAAATATAAGCAGATATGTACACACGTGCATGCACACTTAATGCACATTCTTAACTTTCCTCTTCTTTATAAGAGCTCGTATGCCTTGGGTGGCACATTGGTAAAGAACCCACCTGCCAGTGCAGGAGACATAAAAATCGCAGGTTTGGTCCCTGGGTCGGGAAGATCCCTTGGAGTAGGAAATGACAACCCACTCCAGTATTCTTGCCTGGGAAATCCCATGGACAGAGGAGCCTGGCGGGCTGCAGTCCGTGGGGTTGTAAAGAGTCAGATGTGACTGAGCAACTGAGCACATGCATGCTATGTGTAGTGTTGTGCATCTTATTTTTCTCATATAGCATATGGAAGCCCTCTCCATTTTATACAGCAGCAAAGAGACCTTTCTCATTTCTCTTTAGAGCTGCATTGTGCTTCATTATATAAACCACATGTTATTGCTGGATACTTGTGTGTTTCCAAGGTTTGTTATTGCAAACCACACCACAGTGATAAATTATGTGAATGTGGCATTTTGTGTTTCAGTAGTTGTCTTCGCTCAGGCTTCCATAACAAAATACCATAGATTGGGTGGTTTAAACAACAGAAATTTATTTTCTCATAGTTCAGGAGGCTGGAATTCTGAAGGTGTCAGGATGGTTGGCTTACACGCTGCTAGCCTGACTTCTTGCTGTGTACTTTTATGGTAGGGAGAGACGGCATGCTTTCTGGGGTCTCTTCTTACAAGGGCACTAATCCTTTCACGAGGGCCCCACCCTCGTGACTTCTCTGTGATCTCCCAAAGGCTCCATGTCCAAATACCACCTCTTGGGAAGTTAGAGCATCAGCATACAAATTTTGAGGGCGTGGGGGTGGGGACACATTTCAGTCCATAGCAGAAGGTATATCTTAAATTCCTAGAAATGGGATTGCTGATATCAGAGTATAAGTACATCTGTAATTCATTGTATATTATATTCAATGGATCAATCTTTGATCCACTTGGAGTTTATCCTGATAGCTGATGTGAAGGATGGATCCAATTTTAATTTTTTCAAATGGCTACCCAGTTGTCTTCAGATCATTTACTGCAATGACTTTCTTTACCCCATTGCATATTGACTTTATCACTTACTAAATCCTTCATATGTATTTGGGTCTCTTTTGGAGCTTTTTATTCTGCTACATTGGCCTGTTTTATCTGTTCATGTTCCAGCTATACCATTTGAATATTGACACTTTAGAATGTTTTAATACCTAATTGGTATTGATCATCTCTCATTTCCTGAATCTTCTTGATTGTTCCTGCTTCTGCATCTGTATGAATTTTATTTAAGTATTATGGAAAGCTTCAAATATATATATATATATGTATGTATATATATATATAAATAAGAATCATCAAATATCTATTACCCAGTTTCAATGATTATCAATATTTTATGTGTCTCATCTGTTCCCACTTCCTCTTATTTTTTTTGATGTATTTACAGCTATCTCACGTATCATTTCATCCTTAAGTTACTTCAGTATATGCCTCTAATAGATAAGACTTCAAGAAATTAAAATCATGGTGTATTAAAATCATGGCCTATCTAGTACAGTTAATACCAGTTCATAAGTTAGTAACCTAATATTACCCAAACCTAGTTTAGTTTTCTTTAATTTTTTCTAAAATGTGCTTTTATAGTTTGTTCAAATAAGGATTCATGTACCGTCCTCACATTGCATTTGGTTGATTCGTCTCTTGATTTTCAGTTTGTAATGGCCTCTGCTCCCCAGCTGCCATGTTGAATTGTCCTTACTTTTTCTTGTTTTGTATGTTTCTTACAGTGGTTTCTGTGATACCTATTATCCCTTTCATGTTCTTTGCATAAATATTCCAGTCTTTTCTTAAATGATTTACATTTTTCTTCACTGAGTTCTTTGGGTCTCGTTTCACATTCTGTTGCTATCAGAATATCACCCACTGTTACCTGAGTTTTATCTGCTGTTATCTTGCTATCTGAATATCACCTCTATTCATATTTTGTGTCCTTTTCGTACTGTGATTGCATCCTTACATCTTTTAGCTTATTTTACCTTTTTTAGTAGGCTGTGTTCTTTCGTCTGTGGCAACATTTCTTTTTCTTTTTTCTTTTGGCTGTGCCGCACGGCTTGCGTGATCTTAGTTCCGTGACCAGGGATTTGAACCTGGGGCCACAGCAGTGAAAGTGCAGAGTCCTAACCACTGGACCACCAGTGATTGCCTGTGGCAACATTTTCTTTGGTGAATTTTCGTTATCTGTTGAAAAGTTAAACTGCTCATTTCCACCCTCTTCCTTGAGGTTTCTTTGTGTTGAGGCAGATGGAATGCCTTTTCGGTTACTTGTGTTTGAATGAGCTTGATTTTTAGTTGAAGAGATTCCTGGGTGGGGGAACACCGGGTATCTTTCCAAGCCTTCTTGTGTATGGCCCCTCCCCTCTGTTTCTCAAAGCCTGGTGTAGGGAGGATTCTACTTTTGTGCCTATATTTCCCAGACTTCCGCCCAGCTTTTGCTTTTCCAGGTGGTTTATCTGCTATAACAGTTTGTATTTTGTGGGCGTTTTCTGAGTGCTCATCCCTTTTCCTCCTCCCCACTTTTCTGCTTACCCAGTATCCCTGCTCTTGTCATTATCTGCCTAGTTGGGACGAGGCCCCTCAGTATTCTGTTTTTCCTTTGACCCTTGCGTGGCTCTAGGAGGCCATTTGACTTTTCCTTTATCATCAGCTGGCAGCTGTCACCTCATTGCATTTCATTGTTTTCCAATTTGCTTAACTAAGCACGTTCCCCTCAGGGTGGGCCCTTAGCCTTCCCTTGTTTCTCCTGCTCTGTTCAGCATTTCTTTTGCACCTAAAACCAATTTTGCTATTTAGGAGACTGTTTGATCACATTTACAAGTCAAATTTGATGTACAAATTTAAAAAAGTGGTTTAAATTTGTGTGTTTTCCCATCTCCTAGTTTACACTAAAGATGTAGCTTTTGTTTATTTTGGTTATCCTGATTTCTATTTCATATTAATCTTGCACAAATATTTTAAAATTTCTTTTTTTCTTTCCTGGTGCTAGTAACTGGATTTTTTTGGGGGGGTATCTTTTCAGATTGGTGGTGGTTTATCTGTATTTTCTATGTTGATTTTGTATCTAAGCTACCTCCTAACTAGTTGGTTCTTTTAGATTTTTCTGGTATGCAAATAAATAAATCACCTGTAAATAATAAATTGTTCCTTTGCTAAATTTTATACCTCTAATTTCATTCTTTTGTCTGGTTATTTTTACATAGTCAATGTTCATGATGATACTGGTGATCTTTGTTTTATTTCAGCTCTAGGAATATTTTATTTTTCTGCTAAGCATGATATCAGCATTGAGGGTTAAGATTTTAACATATTAAGGAACTGGATATTTATTTTTATTTTACTAAGATTTAAGAAATGTCAAGAGTGAATATTTTATCAAATGATTTGGCAGCATCTATGAGATAATTTGATTTCTTTAAACTTAAATTTATTATTTGGAGAATTATATAAACAGGTTTTCTAACATTAAGCCATTCTTATAATCTTGTAATTTTGATGTTTTTATCTTTTGGTGTTTTTGCTTTATGTCTTCATGTGGTCACTACAGATGTTCTTTATAAGCCTGAGACTATTATGTATTCTCTAATTGTGGAGTCCAGGGTTCTCCATGTCTGGTAAATCAAACTCATTAATTGTGTTGTTCAGAACTTCTGTAATCTTAAACATTTTTGGTTTACTTGTTCCATTTATTGCTGAGACGAAGAGTGTTAAAATCATCCACTTTAATGATAATAAAATGGATAGATTTATCAGTTTTTTATTATAATTGTTTATGTAGATAAAGGCTTTCAAATACAACATTTGTGAAGTTTATATCTTTCTGGCAAATTGTCAAATGTTAAACATATTACTGAATTTATCCTCAGTATTTTTTGACTTATCTATTTTATTTGGTATTACTGTACCTAAGTAATTTGAGCCCTAAATTTTTTATGTTCATCTGTTGTATCAAAGGGGCAACTTTTAAAGGAGAAATTCCGATTGTTGCTGACATGACATGCTTCCTTGTTGTTTTTCTGTGTTGCAGAGTTTTTCTCTGACCCGCCATTTTCATTCCACATGTAGCCCTTTGAGGTTTCTGTCTTCATGTGGGGTTGGGGTGGTGAAGGAGATGTTTCTTCTTTCTAGTTTATTGTCTTAGGTAGTTTCAAGACTCCTGTCTAAAGTCTCCCTGAGGGCTTTTAATGCATTTTAATTGCTAGTCCTTTGGATACAGAAATACCCCAACAGCCAGAGACAGCTTTCGTCAGTTTATAGTTTGATTTCTTTTACTGTCTTGGTAATTCACTCGTCTTAGAGGGGTGTCTGCTATGTATTCTACATTTCTGATATTTTGGTATTTTTTGATAAGAGAATTGCTAGGTTGTTCTGTTGATCACAATGCTAGTAATGCTAGTCTTTAAAGATTTTTTTAAAAATCCAAAGCTTTGGTATTTGTTGGAAAAAAAGAAAAACTTTTGTTTTTCTTTTTTAACATTTTCTTGCTAGCATGCAGCAGAATTGATAAAAACAGTGGCATCTCGCTATGATGAATATGTCAACGTGAAGGAATTTTCTGACAAAATCAACCGTGCCCTTACTGCAGCAAAGAAGGACAATGACTTCATCTATCATGATCGAGTGCCAGACCTTAAAGATCTAGACCCTATTGGCAAAGCGACACTTGTGAAATCTACTCCAGTCAATGTACCCATCAGCCAGAAATTCACCGGTATGTCAGCTATTCAGAGGCACTTTACTGTTATTTATTTTTTCTCCAGTTTAATCTATTTTTTGTAGCTAAAATCACATAGTTGCAATTGTGTGCTTTGTATATAATTTTATTCATGTTCAAAATGAATTTTATTTATGTTAACAGTGAAATTTTAAGATGGACAGTAAATGGTAGTAAAGCATAAAGTATACAACAGAGTCAGAAAACTTGAAACTGAGTAATTATAAAGACTTAAATGAGCACTTGTCTTTTTGTTAACATTTGTTATTTAAGATTCTGGTATTAAAAATAAATACATAAAAGTATAACTTTAAACATATAAGCTTCTGGAGTCATGTCATAATATCATTGACTGTTGTAGGTCTGTGCAATACATGGTAGGTGAGACCCCAGGGACCTAATATTTCTAAATTATTGGATGGTTATTTTATAGTTGGCCGTCTGTATCTGTGGTTCCGCAGTCCTGAATTCAAAGCAACTGCTGACTGAAAATATTCACAGAAAAAAATTTCCAGAAAGTTCCCAAAAGAGCAAAACTTGAATTTGCAATACTCTGGCAACTGTTCACATAGCATTTACATTGTGTTAAGTATTATAAAAAAGTTAGAAATGTTTTAAAGTATATGAGAGAATATGTGTAAGTTATATGCAAACACTATGCCATTTAATGTAAGAGACTTGAGCATCCTTGGAGTTTGGTACCCACTGAGGGTCCTGGAACCAGTCCCCTGAGGAATAATGGGCTCCAGTTTCATCCATCTCATTAGAACTGATTCAAATGAATTCTTTGTTTAACAAGCTCAAAGTGTTTACCATGTGCCAGAAATTCTTTTAAGCGCTTTAAAATATTAGTTCATTTACTTCTCACAGCAGCTACATGAGACAGGTATGGTTATTACCCTCATTTGACTGCTGAGTATACTGATGCAGAGTGGTTAAGTCATTTGCTCAAGGTTGCAGAGCCAGGAAGTGGTAGAGCTGCAAACCATGGTACTGTGGTCAGTTTTATCAGTGAAAGAATATTTTCTCTTCTGTATATCTTCTTCACCAAAGATCCCTTAAACTTAATGATAAACACATCTTTAAGAAAATTAAGTTCAGAGGAAAAGCCTTCATTATCATTGCCCGTGAATACAGTGATCTAAAAATTCTCTTTATCATTGTTTTTTCAATAGATTTAGTTTTGTTCTTTAAATGTTTGAAGACTTTTAATGTGAATATTGGAAAGGAGATATGCATAGTCCCTTTACAATTTGAGTTTCTCTTAAAATTTCATTGAAATTGACTCCTCATTTTAGACCTGTTTGAGAAGATGGTTCCTGTGTCAGTGCAACAGTCTCTGGCTGCCTATAACCAGAGGAAAGCTGATTTAGTCAACAGGTCAATTGCTCAGATGAGAGAAGCCACCACTTTGGCAAATGGGTAAGTAGGGCTTAGCTTTCATAAATTTATCTGAATTTCTGATGTTTCCTGATGGATTATTTATGAACATTGTACTTTTCTGAGTTTAGAACTGAATGTTAAGGATATTTGAAATAGCAAATACGGACACACACACATTTCTTGGGGACACTATATTTACTGAGCCCCAACAACAAAGCAGATATAATTGGAAGAAATTTAATTACTGAAACAAAGTGAAAATATGTGGCCACTGATTTGTATTTTGGGGGTATTTATTTGAGGGAAATGAGAAGTAGAAATGAACTATTAAAGTTCAGATAAATGTACATTCAGTATTCTGAACAAGTTCTTTTTGGTGGACTGAAGACAAAATAATTTATCATTTTAAAAAAATATATTAAGTGTAATTTTACACAACAAAATAAATCCATTTTAAGTGTATAGTTGTTTTTGCTAAATGTGTGTGGCCATGTAACTACCCTCCATGATCAAGATAGAGAACACTTCTATTACCCGAGAAAAATTCCATCATGCCTTTCCGTTCAGTGTCTTCTCTACCCTCTAGCCTTGTCTGATCTGCTCCCTGTCACCATAGGTTAGTTTTACCTTTTATATAATATTAATATAAATGTAATCATTATAGTGTGTGCAATATGTAGATTTTATAGTGTTTCGTATACAGTAAATAGTACATTGCATATATATAGTATGTTATATACAGTGTATGGTATTGTATTGTTATAGTAATGTGTAATATGTAGAATAGTATATACAGCATGTAACAGTATATATTAAAAATATCTTGGGCTTCTTTCTCTTGTCATAATCATGGTTTATGTATCAGTTTGATCCTTTTTATTAATAATATTCCTTTTTATGGTCACATAGTCTGTTACTTTTACCTATTGATGGACATTTTGGTTGTTATGAGCATTGATGTCCACATCTTTGTGTGGACAGGTTTTATTTCTCATGAGCAAATAACCTAGGATTACAGAATTGTTGAATTGTGTGGTTAGTGTATGTTTACTTCTCATGAAATGGCCAGATGGTTTTCCAGAGTTGTTGTTCCTGTGCTGTTTGAGAAGTGCACTTTCTTGGCACCTCGTCAGAACTTAGCATTGGCAGTCTCTCTAATTTTAGCTGTTTTAGTGTGTGTGTAGCAGTGTCTCATTGTGGTTCAGTTTGCATTCCCCCTGATGACTAATGATGTTGAGCAACTCTTCATGTGCTTATTAGCCATGTCTTTTGTGAAGTGTTGAAATCTATTGCTCATTTTTCTTCTTAATAATCTTTAATGAGTTCTTTAGATATTCTAGAGGTAAATTCTTTGTCAGATATGTTACTGAGTTTTTTTTTCCCCCTAGTCTTGTTTGCTTTTTCATGTTTTTAATTTTGATGAATAGATAAGTTTTGACCTCATTATTCTTTTTCCAGCAGGAAGGCAGCATAAGTTTACCCTAATATTCCTCCCACTATGTAAATGAAATAATAGAATAATAGTTATTGTGCCACAAAACAAAACAAATGGAAATTCTCTATTAATATGTACATCAACTTTGTCCTCTTGACATTATGCCTAGATGATGTGAAATTGGGTGTTAGTTCTAGAAGGTCTTGTAGGTCTTCATAGAACTGTTCAACTTCAGCTTCTTTAGCATTAGTGGTCGGGGCATAGACTTGGATTACTGTGATATTGAATGGTTTGCCTTGGAAATGAACAGAGATCATTCTCTCGTTTTTGAGATTGCATCCAAGTACTGCATTTCTGACTCTTGTTTACTATGAGGGCTACTCCATTTTTTCTAAGGGATTCTTGTCCACAGTAGTAGATATAATGGTCATCTGAGTTAAAGTCACCCATTCCAGTCCATCTTAGTTCACTGGTTCCTAAAATGTCGATGTTCACTCTTGCCATCTCCTGTTTGACCACTTGCAATTTGCCTTGGCTCATGGACTTAACATTCCAGGTTCCTATGCAGTATTGCTCTGTACAGCACTGGGCTTTGCTTCCATCACCAGTCACAGCCACAGCTGGGTGTTGCTTTTGCTCTGGGTCTGCCGCTTCATTGTTTCTGGAGTTACTTTTCCACCGATCTCCAGTAGCATACTGGGCACCTGAACTGGGAAGTTGATCTTTCAGTGTCCTGTCTTTTCACCTTTTCATATTGTTCATGGGGTTCTCAGGGCAAGAATACTGAAGTGGTTTGCTATTTCTTTCTCCAGTGGACCACATTTAGTCAGAACTCTCCATCATGACCCATCTGTCTTGGGTGGCCCTACATGGCATGGCTCATAGTTTCATGGAGTTAAACAACTGTGTGGTCCATGTGATCAGTTTGGTTAGTCTTCTGTGACTATGGTTTTCATTCTGTCTGCTCTCTGATGGAGAAGGACAGGAGGCTTATGAAAGCTTCCTGATGGGAGAGACTGAGGGGGAAACTCGGTCTTGTTCTAATGGATGGGGCCATGCCCAGTAAATCTTTAATCCAATTTTCTGTTGATGCATGGGGCTGTGTTCCCTCCCTGTTGTTTGACCTGAGGCCAAACTATGGTGGAGGTAATGAAAATAATGGTGACCTCCTCAAAAGGTCCCCTGCATGCACTGCGACGCTCAGTGCCCCCAACCCTGCAGCAGGCCACCGCTGACCCGTGCCTCCGCTGGCGACAACTCCTGCACACTCTGGCAAGTCTGGGTCAGTCTCTCGAGGGCTCACTGGTCCTTTCTCCTGGGTCCTGGTGTGTACAAGGTTTTGTTTACCCTCCAAGAGTCTATTTCCCCAGTCCTGTTTAAGTTCTGGTGTAAGTCCCTGGGTCCCGGTGCACACAGGGTTTGTTTGAGCCCTCCGAGTGTGTCTGGTGGGTATGGGGTTTGATTCTAAATGCCATTTTGCCCCTCCTACCGCCCTGCTGGGGCTTCTCCTTTGCCCTTGGACGTGGGGTATCTTTTTTGGTGGGCTCTAACATTCTCCTTTCGACGGTTGTTCAGCAGCAAGTTGTAATTTTGGAGTTTTTGCAGGAGAAGATTAGCCTCTTTTCATTATAGGGGACTGGAATATAAAAGTATGAAATCAAGAGATACCTGGAGTAACAGGAAAATTTGGCTTTGCAGTACAAAATGAAGCAGGTCAAAGGTTAACAGAGTTTTGCCAAGAGAACGCACTGGTCATAGCAAACACCGTCTTCCAACAACAAAAGAGAAGACTCTACACATGGACATCACCAGATGGTCAACACCGAAATCAAATTCATTATATCCTTTGCAGCCAAAGATGGAGAAGCTCTATATAGTCAGTAAAAACAAGATTGGGAGCTGACTGTGGCTCAGATCATGAACTCCTTGTTGCCAAATTTAGACTTAAAGTGAAGAAAGTAGGGAAAACCACCAGACCATTCAGGTATGACCTAAAACAAATCCCTATGACTATACAGTGGAAGTGAGAAATAGATTTAAGGGACTAGATCTGATAGAGTGCCTGAAGAACTATGGACAGAGGTTTGTGACATTGTACAGGAGGCAGTGATCAAGACCATCCCACAAAATAAAATGCAAAAAGACAAAATGGTTGTCTGAGTAGGCCTTACAAATAGCTGAGAAAAGAAGTGAAAGGCAAAGGAGAAAAGGAAAGATACACCCCTTTGAATGCAGAGTTCCAGAGAATAGCAAGGAGAGATAAGCAAGTCTTCCTCAGTGATCAGTACAAAGAAATAGAGGAAAACAGTAGAATGGGAAAGACTAGAGATCTGTTCAAGAAAATTAGCAATACCAAGGGGACATTTCATGCAAAGGTGGGCACAATAAGGTCAGAAGTGGTAGGGACCTTACAGAAGCAGAAGATATTAAGAAGAGGTGGCAAGAATACACAGAAGAACTGTACAAAAAAGATCTTCACGATCCAGATAATCAC